CCATTCCCTTATCGACAGGCTATTGGATGTTTACTATATGCAGCGACGCATACGAGACCAGATATCTCGTTTCAGGTTAATCATGCTGCTCGCGCTGTTGAAGCACCAACACCGTATAACGTGAAGGAAGTGAAAAGAATTTTCCGTTACTTAAAAGGCACAATGTCGGTAGGAATTCAGTTTGGTGAAGGTAAAAACGAAGTTGTTGGATATTGTGATTCAGACTATGCTGGATGTCCGGACACTGCTAAAAGTACTTATGGACATGTGTTCGTATTAAACGGTGAACCAATATCCTGGGAATCACGGAAGAGCACGATTGTCGCTGACTCCACAACTGTTGCTGAACTGCAGGCTGCTTATGAAGCATCGAAACAAGCCATATGGATTAAAGATCTCATGAAAGAACTCATGATGTCTTCTGAGAAACCAATAATAATCTATTGCGACAATGAAGCGGCTGTTAAGCTGTCAAAATCCGAGGAAAGAAAGAAGAAAACCAAGCACGTCAATGTTCGCTTTAATTTTCTACGACAGACTGTTGGAGACAACAACGTGGAAGTTAAACATATTGCGGGCACAGAGAACCCAGTGGACATGCTAACGAAGCCTCTACCCCATGCAAAGCTGCTCCATTGCTGTAACCTTCTTTTTATCGAGTGAGACTACGTCAAGAGGGAGTGTTGATTGTATGCCGTTAGTCCCACTATATGTATATCACGTTTTCTTGTTTATTATTATATCAGTTACCTGACAGATGGCGTGAGCACCCTTCTCGTACTAACCTAACCTTTTTTTTATTATTGTTCGCACACGCCAGAAACCAAGCTCTGTCTTTTATCTTATTCAGCAACAAAGAAAAAATCCCAATAGAAGGCCTTCGCCCGGCTGAGGGGTAGGCCGCGGGCGCCCGAATCCGATAGCGTCCACGGAAGGACCTGGCTCGCCGCGGCCTCCTTCATCGGAGAACACCTGAGGCAGCTCTATACGAGCTGCCTCAGAGAGGGAAGCTTTCCCAGGTCGTGGAAGAGGGCCCGGCTTGTCCTTCTGCGTAAGAAGGGCAAGCCGGCGGAGAGTCCCTCCGCTTATAGGCCAATTTTCCTGCTGGACGATGCGGGCAAACTGCTGGAGCGTATCATCGCTGCCCGCATCGTCCGGCACCTGTCCCGGGATGGTCCTGACTTGTCCTGCGGTCAATACGGCTTCCGAGAGGAGTTATTCCGAGAGGCGCTCCACGGTAGATGCCATTAGGCAGGTCTGTGCCCTCTCGGAACAGGTGACCACAGGCGGGGGGGGGGGGTGACACTCGACATCGCCAACGCCTTCAACAGTGTGCCGTGAGGCCAAGTAGTGGGGGCGATGAGAGAACATCACCTCCTGCCCCCGTACCTGGTGACCATTGTAGAGGACTATTTCCGGGATAGACAGCTGGAGTTCCACAACAAACAGGGACTCCAACAGCAGAGGGACGCGACGTTCCGCAGGGGTCCGTGTTGGCCCCTTACTTTAGAACGTCACATACGACTCAGTTCTCCGCGCGGCCCTCCCTCCCGGTTGCCATGTCATCTGCTATGCAGACGAGGGGCTTTGTCGAACATTTCGACAGGCTAGCCCCGCGATTGGGCGGCCGGGCGGATGCCCTACTCGGTCTCATGCCCAATCTTCGCAGTTCGAATGCGTCGGTTAGGCAAACGTATATGCACGCCGTCCTGTCCGGAGCTTATTATGGGGCCCCGGTATGGAGTGGGCAGGCCCTGGTCAGTCGCCGTATCCAAGGCAGATTGCACATCATGCAACGGCGATTGGCCTTAAGAATCTGTAGGGCTTACAGGACGGTGTCTTATGCGGCCGCCGTAGTCCTCGCGAGGATCCCTCCTGCCGAGTATGGCTGACGCCCTGGCGGAAACCTACGCCGGGGTGAAGGCCATCCGGCTAAGCGGGGGGGTCGTTACCCTGGGGACCGTTGACAGACTAAGCGGGAAGACTGACCCGTCGGCGGGTGTTTCGGGAGCGCCGCTTTCGAGAGCAACCCGCCGACAACGGGCGTTCGGACCGTGAAGGCCATCCTCCTCTGCCTAGAGGAATGGGTTAGCAGGGGATGGAGTGGACTCTCATACCACATGACGCAGGTGCTCACCGGACACGGCTGTTTTGGGGAGTACCTGCATCGAATAGGAAAGGAGTCGACTGCGCGCTGCTTCCACTGCGACGGGGGCCGGGGCAACGCGCACC